TTTTTTTTTTTTTTTTTTTTTTTTTTTTTTTTTTTTTTTTTTTTTTTTTTTTTTTTGAACGATTGGGTTTGTATTTTATATTCAATAATATTACCAAATTGATCTCTTACCCAAACAAAAAAGGTTTTTAAGTTTGAGAATTGATATTCTGAGTAAAATAAAAAAACAGAACGCCTACTATACCAAGCAAGGCTACAAAACTTCCAAGTCAATGATGTAAATTTGTTTAAAAAGAAAATGCGACAAAGGCTGCTTCAAGGTTAGTTGTCAGCTGGTGGTGCTCCATTCTCGAGTGGAGGTGAGATTCCCCATTTGCCTTCTGTTTCCGATGGTTCAACCACATGAACAGCTCCATTATTGAGCCCTACTGCAAACTGGTTTGTCTCCGATGGATGAGCTGCTATCACTAGAGGATATACTCTTGAGCTGCAGCAAAACCACACACATTTTTCATCACTAGCTCACATGTTATTAGTTATGTAAATGAACTAAAACAAAACCAATACTCTACCTTGGGTTTGGAGGCAAGTAAGCAGTTGGGTTTATCCGACATCTCAATCTGAGGTTGGAAGCTGTGAGGACATCGACACTACCATTTTCAAAGCTCACAAAAATCGACTGGCTATCACATGAATATGTAGCTGACGTGATTGGTCCTGTTGCTTCCCGTCGAAACCACTGTTTCATTGAAAGTAAATATTAATCCATTAATAGTGAGTCTAGTTTCATTCTAAGTTTTATTATTAAGTACCTGCATCAACCAATCCAGTTTTTGAGCATCATAAGTGGCTATCTGCGTCTCATGGACAACCAACAGATGAATCTGATCCAGATGGAACTGCACACGGGTATCTGCAACAGCCGGTAATGATCTTCCATGTTGAACTTGCAAATACTTACTACTTTGCTTCTCCCATCCATCCATGCTCCAAACGCACAACTACAGACCCCCAAAAACGTAAGCAAGTTTTATTACAGTGATGCGCATTGAGAAGCCAATATTCACAACACAATTACTCTTTACCTGTGAATCAGCACCCGACGAAACAAGAATGTTCAGAGCCTGTGAGAAAGCAAGACCTGTTATCCTCTTCTGATGACCATTCAACTTGGTTTTCACCTAGCATAAAAATCATTCAGCTCAGTCGTTGTAAGTTCATGACTTATACCACCCAAAAGTAACTCTCATAATTTCATTCCAGATAATACCTCGTCAGTGCGAACGTTGTAGATCTGGATCGATGAATCCTCCATGCCAATGGCAATGATATTATTGTCCAAAGGATGAAACGCAAGGAATGTTGCTGCAGGCGGCGGAGGCATGAACGTCGTCATAGTCTACATGTTATTAGATAATACATCATTAGAGCATGAAACTTTTACAAATCCATCTTTAATTATTTCAAACTATCAAAACGCTACGGTGGTGCAGATTTGCAACCAGATACTTCCATAGATTTTCATGACATAAGAAAGTTCTCTGAACTTTTTCGAAAACAAAGGAAGATTCGGTTAGTCACCTTGAATGTCATCATGTTGAACAAGGAGATTTTTCCCCCTGACGCTGACATAACGTAGGAGTCATTCTTTGACAGGGCAAAACAAGGAATAGCCTCTTCAGGGTTTGAATCACTCGTCTCATTTGTCATCATCATAATCCCACTTGGAGGTTGCCATAATACTGGTTGTGCACTAGCCGTTGCCTAGAAGAAAATAAATGAAAGCTATAATTTGCGAAGTGATCATAACCACAGACAACAAATTACAAGGAAACTAAATCAAGGAGGCAAGCAGACCTTTCCAGCCAGATTGTGATCGTTTTTCTGCCATTTCCACAACTTGTGCACTGCATTAGATGCCAAGGCCAATACTCCAGATCCAGAATTTGTGTAAATTAATTTGGAAATCTGAAACTCCCACCACATAAAACATGAGTCAGCCATTCCCGCAAGGTACATAACAAATAAGAACATTAGTTACTACAAGATATATCTAATTCACGTAACAAGATTATAACTTTTTAATTGTAAATGTTGACCATTTCGTTATGTGGAGATGGTATCTAGGCTGCGTATAGAAGTATAATATATTACCTTCGTCACTGCCACATTGTCGGCGAGCCTCAAGGAGCAGCACTGAGATGGCTCTGTAATCTCTGTAACTTTGCAGGTTCTAGATCTTTCACCCAAATCATCAGCGATTCTGGGCTTCCCATCCACTAGAGTTCGCACTTCATTGTTCTGAATAATTCAAACTGTTTAGTGATACAATACATACTCAGTAGACAACAAGGATACCATCCAGTTTCAGACTTCGACTGACCTCCATAGCTGAAAAAGAGGAAGCTCGATCTGCCATAGTTATTCCTGCATTTGCACTTGAGGAACCAAAACCACCACCTGCAGGAACCTGCACACCAGATTGTATAAATAAATTGGTTATAAAGTCCACAGAGATAATATCAAAAAATAATATACCTTCATGACCGGGGTAAACGAGCGATTTTCTGCTGTTCTCAACAGCCTAATTCCATCATCAGTCGCGAGGATTCTAACACCATGGTCATTGGTTGAGACAGCTAAAAGTATTCCTTCCCTATTAAATCTAACACAAGGAGAAGCCTGCAGTTTTTTCACGAGCAATTAGGTGCTGCAAGAGAAGTAGTAGAGATAGCAAGAGGCCATGATCATTGAGTAATATTACCGGTAAGCCACCATCTGCATGAATAGTTGTCAAAGGATTTGTGTTGTCCATGTCCCAAATTTTGATAGTCGACTCATCACCAGCAGCTAAGAATCTATTCCTGGTTGTGTCAAATTGCACAATCCCTGCAGCCCGTTGTCCCAGGCCGAGATATGTTCTCTTTATGGAGCCTTCACTTTCATTCCACTCAACTAAAAATGACTCTCCTTCTTTGTTTGTACCACATGAAAACAACCTGTTGCATTTTAATCAATTGCCCAAATATCAAAGCATAAGATAACAGTCAACATTTATGAAATGCTGACACAATTTGAGAAAGTTGGATGAACCTTGTTCCGTCACTGCTGTATGCCATTCTTGTGGAAGACTGGCCAGGTGCATCATAGTCAACTCTTGAACCCACATTGTCATACAACCAAGCTTTTATTTTTCCATCAGTTGCTGTTGAGAAGACAAACTGTATAGGATCTAGAATACATTAGTGAAAATTTCTTTCATAGGGGGCTCTAGTCCCAAAAGTAAAATCTATACACACCACATTCAGTCAGGCGACAATTATATCCAAGGGTATTTGATGTGATGACAGATAATGAATCATAGCAACCATATGAGACTGATTGTAAGTTACAACAACCACAAAAAAACAACACTTGTTACCTGAATATTTTCCTTGAAGTGAGGACAAACAGAGAACACAGGAGCTTCGTGACCCTCAAAAGTAAACAGTTTATCGCCGGTAACAGCATCCCAAACCTTTGGATTGTTAAAGTTCATGTAAGTCATGCCCAACCATTAACGTGCCAATAGCGCATAGATAGTCAGAAAGACAAACCTTTATGGTTCGGTCATCGCCACAAGTAACAACAGATAGTTGTTTGTTAGGAAATGAAAAGGCAAGATGGCTAACACTTCCTGTGTGAGCTTCAATCTGTAATCAGAGGAAAGAGGAAACCAAATTGTAAAGTTATGTTGAACATACGGACAGCTAGTACCAACTACCGTGACTGATATGATTGAAAGGAAGAATTGGTAAAACGAACCTCCAGATGATTTCGTATGTCACTGCCCCCATTAAAGCCATAGATATGCACAATGCTTTTTGAGTATGCCACGCCTGAAATATAAAAACAATGTGCACGTTTCCGATGTTTAAATACTGTTCCTATTCTGTGATACAATTTAATCACGAGATTTATCCATTGCTCTTAGAGAAAATAAATTGCTGGAGAACAGTTGGCATGTACCAAAGAGAGTTCCATCAGGACTCCATGCCACATGATTTACCGAAGCTGTCACATCAGCGTTCAAAGATGCCTGTCCACGATTCAAAAGAATTAAAGCACTTCTTCCTAGACAGTATGGGAAAATATCAAAAGGGTGAGAGGCAAACCTGCAGTTCTTTCGTACACGCATCAAGCTTCCAGACATCAAAACCCTTCTCCGTAATCCTTTGACGAGCACCCAGGTCCCACAAGAAAACATCACCACCAATTGTACCAACTGACATGATAACATATATTCTCAATATCCTTAATTGATAAAATAAAGGCAAATACAGCATCTGCACGTATGGCTTCATAGGACATACCCAATAGTAAAATTTGCTGAATTGGATGGAAGTCCATGCTCATGACAGGTGAACCCTGAGCAAGAGTTGTAACAACCACCTTGGGCAAGTCATCAGGTGATAATGTATTATGTCCATGGGGATGGGGATGGCCAGCATATGTCACTGGCAAAATATTTACTGGAATATTACCCCCCTGAAAAAAACCATTGAAAACCAACAGATATTAACCACCTAGAGGAAAGGAATGCTTGGACTGAAAAAGCTATCTGTCAAGCTCTTCTGCCACATTTATCATCATCCGCATCTTACAAGTATAAAGCCTAAAATCGAAAATCGTACTTCTCTCTAAAGAGAACAGCTGAGACATATACAACAACTCTCAGCTACTTTAACAGATAGATTAGGTATTGATGAGTACCTCCTCCGAGGTTCCATACGGTCTTGACCTCTTCGAAACATGGTTAGAATCAGCAGTTTGATATTCCATAGGAATAGGACCTGAAGGAGTCTGAGGGCGCTTTAAGATAGCTCCTAACACAGAGTTTCAAGTCAAATAAATGGATTTAAAAAGTGAGATAAAGGTAAAATAATAAGATAATATAGCATCGAAGGTCTATTTCTGATGATCAAGTATCCTATATTGTTCTCATGAATGGAAGCTATGACAACTTTCAGAAATATAACACAAAGCATTCACAATAAATAGATAACCTGTGTTGTTTGGAGAACCCAAGCCTATAGGACCTGAAGATGCAGCAGCAGGATGAGGCACGACAGATGGGTTAGGCATCCATCCTGAAAGATTAGCTGGAAGTCCACCTGGTCCTGGTGCAGGCTGGAACAGCTGTCCAAAAACATGTGGAAACATTTCAGCATAGAAAAACATATTTCCGGTAACGGCAAGCATAATCGTTCGGCACTTACACCATGAGCTGATAATGGATGAAACCCTGCCATCTTAGGAACACCACCACCCATTAAATGATTTGTACCAGGGGACGCAGCTCGAGCACCATTCGGTTGGTTCGGTTGGTTGCATGTATGGTCCAGAAAGAGAGATCTGATGTCAGGATTTGGCCTCGGGTTCTTACATAGCTGATGCTGCCAGTTTAAACTACAAAAAAAAAGAGAAACCCCCAAGGTTTTAGTCATATATACAAATGTGATTAGACTAAAAAAAGACTCAACAGAAAGTTTCCAAGCACCTTTGGTTAATTAGAGTCCTCAACCTTGAGCTTTTCAAAACAGGAAACTGAAGTTTGTCACGGAAAAGAGGATTAGCCTCAATCAGCTTCTTTAATTCACCAAACATTACACCCCTTGCCGACTTTGTATCCCCGTACTTGGAGAGCTGCTCATTAGCTCTGATGTGACAATAAATGATTTAACAATCTATATAAGCAGAAACAATGTTTCTAAGGGTCAAACAGTTATGCAAACCTAAAGTCATCCAATGTCAAAAGTAAGGTGATTTCCTTGAAGAGATCTTCATTGAAACCTGCAAACACCTTGAGATCCTTGACTAAAATGTCCACGGCTTTTGCACGATCACGCCTACAAAAAGAGGGATTAAAAGCAGTGAGACACACACACACAAACCACAGAACCATATAGATATATACTCAAAGAGAGAGAGGATAATGAAGCTTACTTATCTAAAGCTTCGAGATACTTTTGCTTCCGGATTTCAAAGAAGATTTTCATAGAGTATCTGTTATCCTCAAGCTTGGAGAAACCAGAGAGATACTTCTCCACTTCGTCCCACTCACCATTAGTCACCAGCTCCTCAAAGTAACGCATGTTGAAGTAATAACCAGACTCCAATTCCAATCTGTTTGGTTTATTTCACAACATTGAAATCATAATTAATTAATTAGTTTCTCAATTCCCAATTTGGATTATTCAAAATTTGGGGGTTTTATATTAAAAAAAGAAAAGGACCTGTGAACGGTATCTTTGTATTTCTCTTCATCGAGAAACTGGAGAATCAGGAACACAAGCTCCCTGCTGAGAGAAGTCATTACTGCAAAATTAAAAAAAAACGAGATCAAAAACACATGCATTAAATGAGATCTGCACAATACCAGACAACCAAATCTTCCGACACAAAAACAAAAAAAAATAAAAAACCCTTGAGAAAATTAATTAATTGAATTAAGTCGTAGAACCTAAGGAAACAAACGTAATACAGAAGAAAAAAATATAATAAATCAGAGAGAGCGAGGTGAAGAAGATAGTCAAAGGAGTAACCTGTGTAGATTATAGGTTTTCGCAGATCGAAGAATCTGGGAACGAGAGCGAGACAGAGAAAGATAGAGAGAGAGAGAGAGAGGGTTTCGTCTCTTTTCTTTTTGGCTAGGATTTGCTTTTGAGCACTTGTGGGTGACGATTTAATATTTATAGAGAGAGATATGGAAAAAAGTAATTTTAATTATAAAGTTGAAAGGAAAGAGAGAGAGAGAGAGAGAGAGAGAGAGAGAAAAAAGGAGATTAGGGATTTTGAATCGTAGAAGAGACTCTCGAAACTGACAATGCGAGCATCAGTGGAAACAAACCTATAAGCAGGGTATGATAAGTTAGTCTGCTTATATCAATATAAGGATATGATAAGTCAATCTACTTATCACCTAATTCCAGTCGTCTTGAATTGTGCACGCCGACAAAATAGGACAAAAGTGAAAAAATAATTGTTATGGGTCTAAAATGACGGTGGTAGTTAATTGGGCTTTTCTATTGATTCGAGATATCTATTATTTAATGAACTTTAGGAATTCATACAGCCCAAATTAACATAAATACCGGAGCAGGCCCAATAAAGGCCCATAAGAAACGCGGTCTAATCTGAGCCATAACAGTTATCTCGAGTTCATCGGAGTCAGACTCTCTCAGGTGTCTGTCCGAGCTTCCGACCACCTTCTTCCTCCTCTACTTCTCATTCGCGTGGCCTTTAAGGAACAAAAGCTAAGTCTGTCTACCTGTCCTAGCTCCTCTTCTTATCTATGGTATTCAATAAGCTTCTGGTTTCGTCTCCAATTTGCTTTGTCTTGATCTCAAATGTTAGGGTTTTAGAAACTTCAGGCTTGATCAAATGTTAGCTAAAAAATATAACTGAAAAATGCGACATTTCGAAATTGATTTTATCTGCTTGTGTTTTCTTTAAGATCATAGCATTGATGTGGATTACATTTGTGATTATATAAACGTCTATGTTGTATGTATTTGATTACAGGCACCTGGGAGGGGGATTCTTGGCTTGGAAGGAAAGTAACAGACTAACTCCATCTTTGAGATCACTCAGCACCCAAGCTGCGTTCACTTCCATCACTCCACAACCACCACCACCTCCTCCGCCTCCGGAAAAGACTCATTTCGGTGGTCTCAAGGATGAAGAGACCTCCATTTACACCAACCTCTTTCTCAAAGGAGCCATGAAGAGAGGTGATTGGCATAGGACCAAAGATTTGGTACTCAAAGGTACTGATTGGATTGTTAATGAGATGAAAAGATCCGGTCTTCGTGGACGCGGTGGTGCTGTATCCCTTCTGGTCTTAAGTGGTCTTTCATGCCTAAAGACTCTGATGGACGTCCTTCTTATTTGGTTGTCAACGCTGATGAGAGTGAGCCTGGGACTTGTAAAGATAGGGAGATCATGCGTCATGACCATTCACAAGCTGTTGGAAGGGTGTTTGATTGCTGGTGTGGGGATGAGAGCTAGTGCGGCTTATATTTACATCAGGGGTTAGTATGTGAATGAGCGTTTGAATCTGGAGAAGGTGAGGAGAGAAGCTTATGCAGCTGGACTTTTGGGGAAGAATGCTTGTGGTTCTGGTTATGATTTCGATGTTTATATCCACTTTGGCGCTGGCGGGTACATTTGTGGTGAAGTTGAAAACCTTGAAGGGAAGCAAGGGAAGCCTAGGTTGAAACCTCCTTTCCCTGCTAATGCTGGTTTATATAGTTGTCCCACAACGGTTACTGTACAAGCGTGGGCCTGAGTGGTTTTCTAGTTTTGGTAGGAAGTATAATTCAGGGACAAAGCTGTTTTGTATATCCGGGCATGTGAACTAGCCGTGTACGGTTGAAGAGGAGATGAGTATACCTCTCAAGGAACTTATTGAGAGGCACTGTGGAGGTGTTAGGGGTGGTTGGGACAATCTACTTGCTATCATTCCTGGAGGCTCCTCTGTTCCTTTGATTCCTAAGAATGTATGTGAGGATGTGCTGATGGATTTTGATGCGCTCTCAGTCAGGGCTAGGAACTGCAGCGGTGATTGTGATGGATAAATCAACCGATGTTGTTGATGCAATTGCAAGGCTTTCTTACTTCTACAAGCATGAAAGCTGTGGGCAGTGCACTCCTTGCAGGGAAGGGACAGGTTGGCTTTGGATGATCATGGAGAGGATGAAAGTTGGGAATGCAAAGCTGGAAGAGATTGATATGCTTCAGGAGGTGACCAAACAGATCGAAGGACACACGATCTAAGCGTTGGGGATGCAGCTGCGTAGCCTGTGCAAGGTTTGATAAGGCATTTTAGGCCGGAGCTTGAGTGAAGGATCAGGGAACGTGCTGAAAGGGAGTTGCTACAGGCTGCTGCTTAAAAGCCATTGTTAACAGAGGTTTGCATCTCTAAATTTCTTGTTGCAAACTTAAAAGCAAGATGTAGTCTATTGTTTCGATAAAAAAGGTAGAGGTTTGAATGTCAGTACTCTGCTGTCCTATATAGTTTATTTGGTACTTCATAGTCATGTGCTTTTGTTTTTGAAGGGAATTTGCTATTATTCTCCATGGAAATAAAAATCTGAAGAACACTTTTTTTTTGTAACAAAAAATCTGAAGAACACTATTAGAGTTTTGTAGATGCAAAACTACTTTAGAAGAAGGTATAATGTATTCGTGTTAAATGGTAAATGTAAAACTTTATTCAAGTTGTATCAGAAAGAGCTCTATTTGCTATTTGTCTTACTCTACTTTCTTCATTGTTTGATTGTTTTCTTATAACAATATGAGAGCACATTATTGGGAACCAACCAAACAAAACATTTTCATGTTTGAAATGAAAATACTCCTTTTTGGGTTTTAGTAGTTTACATTCAGTATAAACTAATAATCGTTGGTTCTTTTTTTGGCTTTGTGTGGAAAATATCTTGAGTCTTTAGGGTATGAATCATCGTGATTGGACGCAATCGCTACTGCTAGAATCTAAATCTAATGCGCATCTTTTACATTCAAACCAGAAGTTAACCAACACCTAGAAAATTCGAGGAGAGGGAGAAAGATAAATGTACAAGAGACCTGTGAATTGGTGGGACAAGTAGGGAAGGGGACCGGTCTGATCCGATCTTTTTTCTTGGGAGGATAAGACGTCAACATCTTCCCTATCTTCTTTGTCCACTTTTCATTTTCTTTCATATTCTAATAACATTACTGAGATCCAAAAGTTCAAAAAGAATAAACTACACTCTTCTTCACTTAATAAAATCTACTATGTAATTTAACGATCGTCCATTTTTAAAATGGTTGACTTAATCTGGTCGAAAACATAATTACTTGGTATATTATATCATTTGGTTAAGACAAGAACCATAAGGAATTTTTGGTCTGCTTTCATTTAGCTTAGAGGTCCAATTCACATTAAAGCTTTACTGGTTGGCCCATGTTAAAAAAAAAAAATCCAAAATAATGTACATAAACACACACAAAAAAGAGAAAAATTCTTATAATAGACATAATTTTTTTTGTCACAAATATAGATTTTAAAAATAAAAATGATTGAAATATACTTAAATGTTTTATAAAAAATATATACACTTATATCTTTTGATTAACTTTCTTTTTGTTAATTTTTTTAAAAATTAAAAAAATAAAATTTTAAAAATTTTAAATGTTTTTTGGTCCTTTTAGCTTTGAACTCTAATTTTGTGATTAAAACTTTTTTAAAAATTTATTTTTATCTCTCCCAATAAAAAGAAGAGAAAATAAGGTAAGAAAATATATAATAAAGTATATAAACAAAAGCAGAGCTGTGAAAACTGTTGCCATCAATGGTGTGTGAGAGCTTATAGTTATCACTGTTTCTTTTCTTGATAAAGAATCACTGTTTCTTTTAACAATGGCGTTTTGACCTCTCTCCTTCTCTCTCTTTTCCTTCTGAGTTTTCTCTCTCCTTCAACTTGTCTCAATCCCTAATCTTCTCTTTCGTTTCAAAGTTGCAATCTTTTTTCTTCTTCTGCTCTGCCTCTTCGTCCTGAACTCATCTCTCTCTTCGCTTCTCTGTTTTTACTTCCCCCTAATAGACTACGAAAAAGATATCATCTTGTAGGGTTTATCGCCCTTATTTTTAGGGACTTGGATTCTACAGAATTAGAGATTCCCTTTTCGATTACCCTCCGAGATTCTCTCTAGCTAGATTTTGATTTCAAGATTAGTTTATACTTTGGGAAGATCTGACTTCTCTGTTGTTGATACTCTGAGTAGTTCCTGGTTTGTGCCACGCTAAAGGTTCAAACTTTACAGAAATTAGGGTGAATTCTATCGGCAATAATGACTGTTGTGGAGGAAGTTAGTGATGGGTCTGTGTGGAGTAGGGAAGATGATATAGCCTTTGAGAGAGCTCTTGCTAGTTATACAGATGAATCTGAGGAAAAATGGGAGAAGATTGCTGCTGATGTTCCGGGGAAAAGTGTTGAGCAGATTAAAGAACATTACGAGGTTTTAGTTGAGGATGTTAATAGGATTGAATCAGGATGTGTGCCACTTCCTGCGTATGGTTCTCCTGAAAGATCAAATGGATATGATGGTGATGGTGATGGAGGAAGTAATACTAAGAAAGGAGGAAACAGTCATGCTGCAGGTGAGGCTAATCAGGGGAGTAAAGCAAAGGCGGATCAAGAACGGAGGAAGGGTATTGCCTGGACTGAGGATGAGCACAGGTGTGTGATCTTTGTTTAGTTTATGATGCTAATCTATAGTTTTCTTTTTTGAGTTACGTTTATTGGTGTATTTATTCTATGTGTCTTCTTTGTGTTCAAGAACATTAATCTTATCACTCTAGTGACAGTTTTAGGTACCCTTGGATGTCAATAATTTTTGTGAATCTTTAGGAAGTTAAAGTTCTGCGAATAAGTAAGACCTTAAGTGGAACTCTTAGGCTAATGGTCTCCCCTATTTAGGAAGTGAATGATTTGATTTGTTTAGTTATCAGGGGGGTTTACTCAAGGTAACTAACTCTAGAGAATGCTTTGAAGAAAAAAACTATAAGTTTATGAAATTCTTATGAGTTCTTAATAGTTTCAAAAGGCTATGATTTTGTTTATTGATATTGTAACTTCACATGGGACAAAGAAATCTGTTCTCGTAGAAATTCTTATTACTTGCATGTCTTTTGCTGCTAAGCTGATATATAATTTACATCCTCCATGTTAGAGATGATGGGGAGATGCTATGTAACCCCTGAGACCATTTTGACTAATAGTCTTTCTCATCTTGCAATGGTTTCATTCCCGGACCATTTTGGTTATGCAATGATTCTTATGGACTAATAATAAGTCTTTGTTCCTCTTCTGTGTTTGCAGGTTATTTCTTCTTGGTTTGGATAAGTACGGGAAAGGTGATTGGCGTAGCATTTCTCGTAACTTTGTGGTAACAAGAACACCGACTCAAGTCGCTAGCCATGCTCAAAAGTATTTCATCCGTCTAAACTCAATGAACAAAGAGAGGAGACGAACAAGCATACACGACATCACTAGTGTTGGTGACGCAGATGTCTCAACGCCACAAGGACCGATCACTGGTCAGAACAACAACAATAACAACACTGGTTCTCCTACTGTTGCTGGAGGAGGAAACAAATCAGCCAAGCAAGCCGCCTCACAACCACCACCGGGACCTCCTATGTACGGAACACCCAGCATAGGTCAACCAGTAGGTGGACCATTGGTCTCAGCAGTTGGAACACCTGTGAACCTCTCAGCTCCACCTCACATGGCTTTTGCTGCTCCAGTCCCTGGCTCAGTGGCTCCTCGTGCACCGGGTCAGATGACGTACACCATGCCGCGGACACCAACAGCTCATAGGTAACGTCGAGAATATACCTGTGTGATGGGTAGTGCTCTCTAAGTTTTAGGTGTAAGAAAAATGTGTAAAGGACTTGGTGAATATTCAAGCTTGTTCCTTGAGTGAATTTTTCTGTTACTTAGTTTGTGGGGATTTTTCTTAATAAGATCATGTGGTTAGATTCAGACTCGAGAAGCAAAAAGTTAACTTTCTTTTTTGTACTTTAACACAATAAAGCCTATGTGCCGAGATTTGAAACAAGATGCAAAGCTACATATTTTTATATGGTTTAACAACCGCGAAACTTCGTTGTGTTATTGTGTAATGTTTCGGTTTGGTTCAACCGGAGACCGTTGTGTTAATATAAGTGAACAGTCTTTCTCTTTCAATGATAGTGTTGTGAAAACGATACATGTACATGAGCTTTGGGGTAGTAGGAAGATAACGAGCTTAGGATTAATCTGTCTAATTGATTGTCTGCCACTCGAATTTGGAGATGTTAAAGGAAACAAAGAAAGCAACTCTGGCTCTGTATACCCTGGTTTAGACCTCGGTGATGGATGTAAGTTAAAGAATCTTTCTCTAATAGCTTTCTCCTCTTGGTCGATGTTTGTTGTACAACTCTCTGGTTCTGCTTTATCCCCTTCTATCAATGACAAGTCAGAGAACAATGACGAAGGGGTGGCCACTGGACTTGTTAAAAGGTTGTTAATACCAAGTTTAGATGATGGTGTCATACCAGTGGGATTAAAGCTTAGAGGAGGTTTGACCATTTCAAGCTTTGGCCTCATACATTGCCTTCTCTCGTGGAGCTTAGAAGTCTCCCTCTTTTGCGTTGCGGTTTTTATCACTGTTGCTTCTGGTACTGCTGTGGCATTGTTGTTCTCTGATGAACCTGTTAAGCGCTGCACGATTTCTCTGAAAGTGTTGGTATCAGTTTGGACAAATGTAGTGATGGGATTGCAGGTTGCAACATTGTGCCTTTCTTGCTTATTCATATGTAAGTTTTTTTTTGTGACTAAAGAGGCTTTTGGTTTACACCTGTTTCCTTTTGGCCTTTGACCTGTGACAAAAAGAAGAGGTATTCGTGTACTCAGACAGTCAGACCTGAATTTTCTTGTTACTTGTTGTATACTCAAAAATCTATATCAAAGTTTGGTGCTGTTACTAATTGTAGGAATGAAAATGAATAGGGTCTTGTAATGTCTTAAACCTGTCTTGTTTTGTCATCTTTCTGGTGTGGTTGTTAATCTATGAATCCTATAATAAACACAGGAAATGATTTTTTTTTTAAAAGGACCAATGACATACCTGAAAAGCAAGCCGGGGCAGCAAGTAAAAGCAAATGCAGGTTTCTGAACCCAAATCAAAAGCTTTAAACAGAAGAAGACAACAAAAGTGAGAGAGAAACTTAAAGAAGGTATAAAGACTGTTGTTGTTGGTGTAATGGTCATAGCTCAGAACTTGTTCATGTACCTGAAAAGAGAAGAGGGAAAACAGTAAAAACATATGAGGAAAGAGGACAAGTAAAAGTCTCTTTTACCCCGTCGTCATGTTAGAGCAACCAAACAACCGTTTTTGTTTTTTAATAGTCTGTCTCTGTTTGAATGAATGTATGATGAGATGTTTAAACTCATTCTTAACTGACTCTGTTTTGTTATTCTTTTGTGGATACTTTGTTGACTCCTTACATTATTATGTGGCCATAAGAACATTAATTAGCATGGTCTAATACAGAAGTCACCAGATGAATATATGAAATTTTACTAACCGGTTCAGAACTCGACTTTATTGCAATCAAACATGAACATTTAACATAACAATACGAAAAGTTGCACATCGGACAACCAACTAGCAAAAACGGTTTAGTTGTGGTTCAACTCAAAAACAAGAGTTGATAACTCTATGGGGCACATTATGTCTTTTTCTTACACCCAAAGGCACATTGCACATGTAAGGCACAATATTGAGTGTCCAATGGGAGAAGAAGTCTAAATTGCCCTTTATGAGAAGGAGGAGAAACTCGGCCGGTTTAGAGTTGGTTTGTTTTAAGTGATTTGGTTTGCCTGGTTTTGGTACTGGTTTAGATTCCTTTTCTATGGGAGCATTTTGTCTTATGTTTGGAGGCAAAAAGCATCTCCAAAGCTTGGCCATTGGATAGAAGAAGCTATTTTATAATTGTGTGGCTGTGATTTAAAGTTTTTTTAGTTTTGTTTCGAGAAGGACGTGTCTTTGTCTACATTTATTGCCTGTGTTGGGGTTTTGGGAGCTAAGAAGATTCAGAGCTGTTGTGGATAGCGTAAGCAATTTGTTTTTTTTGTCTTGTTAAACTGAAAACAATATGTTCTTTGTCTGTCGTTACTGGTGAAGTTTTGTTCTTTCTCTGTTTATACAAAAGTTTGTGTTTTTATGTGTTTACACTAAAAGTGTTGGTCTTTCTCTATTGGGAGGTTTCTCTGGTTTGTCGATAGGTTAAGAAAATGTTAAGTTTCTACTAAAGTTTTGATCTTTTCTGTGTTTATAGTGAAAGTTTATGTCTTTCTCTGTTTTGCTATCTCCTCTGTTTAGTCTGAGTTTCAAAAACAGAGTTTTTGTCTCCGTCTGTTAGTGAGAGCTTTGGTCTCTTTGTTTGTGAAAAAAATTTGTTCTTTCTCTTTTGTTACTGCTAAAGTTTTGTTCTTTCTCTGTTACTGCTAAAGTTTTGTTCTTTCTCTGTTACAGCTAAAGTGTAGTTCTTTCTCTGTTTTGCTGTTTCTCTGGTTTGTGGATGGGGTAAGAAAATGTCTAGTTTCTACTAAAGTTTTGATCTTTCTATGTTTAGAGTGAAAGTTTATGTCTTTCTCTGTTTTGCTATCTCCTCTGTTTAGTCTGAGTTACAAAGATAGAGTTTTTGTCTACGTTTGTTAGTGAAAGCTTTGTTCTCTTTGTTTGTGAAAGATTTTGTTTTTCTCTGTTAGTCTGAGTTTAAAACTTTTTAATTTTCTGCTGCGTTATGTTTATTTCAGGAGGTTTAATGGAGGAGCATTGCATGGTTATGTTCGCCGTGCTTGTTCGTGGAGTTCGGGGAGTTCGTCTTGGAGGTGGCCGTGAGAGTTCGAGGAGTCGAGAGTGTGAAGAAGACGAAATTGGAGAAAGTAGAAATTAGGGTTCTTGTCTGTCGCGTATGAAGAACAGACAAGAAGAGGAAACAGATTTGGACTTTACAATAGAAGAGAACCAGAAAAAGATTAAACCAATAGAAGTCGGTTTGGTATAGGAAAACTTCTAACCAGAAGTTGGTTTGGGTTAATGGGAAGGGAGGGCTTATGAGTCTTTACACTAGAAGAAAGGTTGTCACATGTAGAATGTGGCCTATGATGCAATATGAAAGACAAAATGTGCCTTAGAGAGTAAAAAATTCCAAAAACAAACCCTTGTTTATAGTTGTTTTGATCTTTCAGTAGTTACCTGTATAGAAGAGACCAAACATTATATCGCTCACTAGGCAATTTATATTTCCAGAAAAATCATTGGTAAAACTTATATTTATTTTACTTACGGTTGAAAAGAAAGTAGTATGTATATAATTCTTTAAGATGTTGGTAACAGTATGTTTTCTTAGTTTTATAGTGCATCTATTTCACCAGTCGAACTGAAAATGAGATTATTTTTTTAAAGTAAACGGATTATATCAGCCTTTATCAGGTAAGTCTCCCATGATAGTCACTGAATCCTCTTGAATGAAACGAGCTAAAATTAAGAGTATTGCTTGCAGGAAGTCATGGGAAGGGAGTCCACTGGGTTATCATCATCCAACACACGAAAAAATCCTTAAATGTATATTTATTAAAAGGTAAAAAAAAAAAGTCAATTGGCCCAATATCCTAAAATAATAGTAATATTAGCTATATGCCTTTTCAATAAATTTATAGGTACCAGATAGGGCTGTTCAATATGGTAATACCGAACCGTACCGAACCGAACCGAACCGAAATAGAGAATATGGTTTGGGTTTGGTATATACCATATAAACCGAATGGATATGATTTTATAAAAACCGTAGGATTTGGATATGGTTAGGTTTATAACCGATTAAACCGAATAAACCGAACAAACCGATTAAAGAAAAAATATATAAATATATACATTATATAACCATTTATTTTCTTGGAATAGTCTTTTTAAAAAAAAAAATTCCTTGTGAAGATATATCTTAATAATTTTTTTTTTCAATTATTATCTAAATTTGATTTGATTTTGCATGTTGTAATAAATTGTGAAATTAGATTGTACCATGTAATTTATTTGGAAGAACAAAGAGAAAATAAGAAAAAATGTACAAAACTGAATCATTGGTCGTTTTGTTTGTTGTTAATTTCACATTTTTATATTTATGAACACCTAGTAATATTTTAATAAATGATAGTTTTGACAATATGTTTTTTTTTTAATTCATATAATATGAAACCAAATCAAATAATAATGTTATTTGGTATAAAACCGAATAAACCGAAAACCGGTAGTATAAATACCGAACCAAACCAAATTAAATATGGTTCCAATATGGTAGCTAATTTTTATAAACCGAATAACCGAAAACCGAAAAAACCGAACCGAAACCGGACCGAACACCAGATTGAACAGGCCTAGTACCAGACAACATAAAAAGACAATTAAACCCTTGATGAATATCAAGTGAGATGGACAATCGACAAATGAGTAAATAGACACTCGACAATAATGGAGGGGAGGAGGAGGAGGAGGGGAGGAGGAGAAAGAGGAGGGGAGGGGGAGGAGGAGAAGGGGAGGTGGAAGAGGAAGGAGGAGGAGGGAGGAGGAGGAAGAGGAAGGAGGAGAAGGGGGAGGGGAGGGGATCGGAGGAGGAGGAGGAAGAGGAAGGAGGAGGAGGGGAGGAGATCGGAAAAGGAAGAGGAAGGAGGAGAACGGAGGAGGAAGAGGAGGAGGAGGGGAGGAGGGAGGAGGAGGAGGCGGAGGGGAGGGGGAGGAGGAGGAGGAGAAGAGGAAGAAGATGAAACGTGAGAGAAAAAAAGAGAGGAGAGAGAATAGACTAGGGATAGTAAAGAGAATAAAAAAATTAGAATACTGGCTAGGATATATCCTTAATTTCCCTATTAGTGGTGTGTATGCACTGCAATTTCTCTAAAAAAGAATATAATTATATATTTGACTTTATGATTTAGTGATTAGAATTTAGTATTTGTGAGATATAAATAAAATTTTTAGAACTTAAAATGTAAGATAGTTTAATGTTTTTATTGATTAATAAATATTTTTGGAAAAAATATGTATATTTATGATTAAAAAGGGAAATTGGAGCGTATAACCATGAAAAAAGTCTAATTCACAAACTAGCTATTTCCCCTAACAGTCATATACACGCCGTTATATATACATAGTAATACTGTAATACCCCTTTTTTAACCGGCCTAACCTACTCAACAAAAAATAAAATATTAATTATCAGATGCACAACAATAAAATGTGGTTTACCTAACCCCATATCTTTCCCTTCTCCTTTTTCTTTCCTTTCGTAATTTCTCGGAGTTGAAAGGTCTCCGACACAGATTTTCTCCGCAGCGCCTCCTCCGCCTGATTTTGAAAGCTTTGCCATGTCCGTCATACTCCCATTCCAATTGTGTATTTTTCTCCGCTTGTGCCATCCACTGACATCGTACGGTGTTAAAGTTACAGCAACGGTTAGTAACAAACTCTTCCTATTTTTCTTTTCTATTTGGGCTATTGACGGAATTAGGAAATTATGATTGATAAATCTACAACCTCGTTACTATTGCATATTGGATCTGATTTTTGTGTCGAAGTTCGCCAATTGATTTAGAGATTTGGTTTCTCCGGTTGTTGTTAATTTTGCATTTTAGGATATATACATAGTAAATAGTATAGTAATATAGTTTGTTGTATGGAATAACATATGTAATACAACTTATTTACGTGAAATCTCTTATGCCTATTTTATTTGAGATGGAATAGAAAAAATATATGTTCAACCTATTCTATTTAAGACGGAATCGATTGATAAACTATTCTACTTGCGATGGAATTGAATGATCTGTAACGTATGCTCTACCATTCATTATCAACAATCATATTGTTTGAAATATAAAATATTGTTTTCTATATACAATAGAATTAATTACTCTATCATAACCATGTTTCCCTCTTACTTTGTTCTTCAGGTTTGACATGGGCGATTTTCCTCCTAGATAGATTGTTTGAGACATGTTTTCAACCCGCATGGAAAAAGTATTAACAACTATTTCAACCTGCGTTGAATTGAGGTGATCAAAAATGCATCATAGGATTCAATTTCTTGATATGCGTTTTGTATTGGTGTATATATTTGTTTTATATTAATGTGTATATGATTTTGTAAAGATAAATAATTTATTAAACGTAAATGAAATATAATTTATCATAACAATAAATAAAACATACTATAATGATATTTATATGATGTTGTTTCTTCCACCTCTTTTCTTGAATACCGTTAATCTTGTTTTTTCGCTACAATCAATCTAAATTTGGTGTAAGCATGACTTCTTTCCTTGCAGTTATAGACATTTCAAAATTTGAACAATATGTACCGTGTTATATCGTTTGTCATTTTTTATGTTCTATATGCTCATATAGAATGGAAATGCATCTTATTAGCATTTCAAAATTTGGGGTTAGCTTATGAAAGATTGGGGTTGACATTAGATTAGGGTTTAGGGTTTATATTTATATGTAGGGTTTAGTGATTAGAAGCTTGGATTTAGTTTAATATTTGGATTTGGGTTTAGAGATTCAGATTTAGGGTTTAATATTTGAATTGTGGTTTAGGGTTTAGAGTTCATATTTCTCTACCTTTTGTTTAGTGAGGTAAACAAAAGAAAAATACTAACAACGACATGATATGTTCTATTTTGTATTCTATATGACTATGCAAGTAGAAAATAACATATTATACTACTTTAAAAATAAAATAATGTAGACAATGTAATTTGTAAATATAATGAATTTCATTGGGGTTTATATGGTTTTTTTATATTATTTTTCTATTATATGTTATATATGTTTCCTAGATGCATTGTTATATGGATCATAACACCTTTAATTTTTTCTTATCCGTCTCAGATTTGTAATGAAAGCTTTAGAGATACCAAAAAAATATATGAAACTGGCTTTGACAAGCTCGCCACCCATATCCTCACGCTTACCACTCATATTCTACTGGGTTTAGATTTAGTAAGTAGATTTTTTTTAGGTTTTAGTATTTAAGCATAATAAGAGCTAATAGAAATGGAGTATTTGTTCATGCTATACTATTTATAAATGTTCCATACTATGTATAGTACATTACGAGATATTTGCAGCATATTATATAGATTATGTTTAGATTTATAGATCAATGATTAGGGTTTAGATTTAGTAATAACAATTTTGTCTTGCGTCTTAGTATTTAAGCATTTTAAAAACTAAAATGGAGTAAAATGACTCTTCTATTCTATTTATAGATGTTCCATAATATATCTAATACATAATTATTTATGGATCCATACTAAATCTAATATAATGAGAAATTTGCATCATATCATATAAATTCTATTTGGGTTTATAGATCAGTGTAAATAGCTTTTTTTTTTTTTTTTTTAGTATTTAAGCACAATAAGAGCTAATATAAATAAAGTAAATTGTTCCTGCTATACTATTTATAAATGTTTCAAACTATGTATAGTAAGTACGAGATATTTACAGCATATTATATAGATTATGTTTGGGTTTATAGATCAGTGATTAGGGTTTAGATTTAGTAATAAAAAGTTTGTCTTGCGTTTTAGTATTTAAGCATTTTAAGAACTAAAATGGAGAAAAATGACTCTTCTATTCTATTTATAGATGTTTCATACTATATCTAGTACACATTTGCATCATATTATATAGATTCTATTTGGGTTTATAGATCATTGATTAGGGTTTAGATTTAGTAAGTAAGTTTTTTTTTTTGGTTTTAGTATTTAAGCATAATAAGAGCTAATAGAAATAGAGTAAATTGTTCTTGCTATACTATTTATAAATGTTCCATACTATATATAGTACAATACGAGATATTTGCAGCATAGTATATAGATTATGTTTGGGTTTATAGATCAGTTATTAGAGTCTAGATTTAGTAATCAAGGGTTTTTCTTGGGTTTTAGTATTTATTATGTTGGGTGGGTTTTGATACTTGCAAGCTATACTATGTCAGAAATAATATACTATTCGCTTTCCATTCCGCCTGACCATATGTTCTGTTCCACATATTTAAATTCTATATTATATCAGATGGTACAATTCTAATTGCATATGTTACTTATTTACTGGCATAGAATATTTTGGATTAGGGTTTATTTTACTTCATATAATGAATAAATATGAGACTGAAGTAGTGTTTAGTATTTATGGATTATGGGTATGATTTGAATCTCATACTATTTCAGTGATATGGAATAGAATATGTTGTGCATTTGTATGAAGCAAATAAACGTGTAACGTGGTGTCTTATCCTTCTTTAATATATAATAGTTTTCAGTCACTCCTGGCCATATGTTATTTCTTCTACGTATCAGACAGATTTGTTTACCGGGTAACTGAGAAAGAAAAGGGTATAACCGGATAATTTGGGATGAAAATGTTAGATTTTTCACTATGTCAAAATCATTGCCATCTACCTAATTTCACTACCAAATATGGCTACTACACAAATAAGCCCTTAAAAAAAACTTAAAATATGCTACTTATGAGTTTATTTCATTATTTTAATATTAGTGAAAAATAACGAGGTATTGGTGCACAAAAAAAAAGAGAAAAACAAAGAAAGTGACGAGATATTCGGTAAGTAAGAGGGCGAATACGCAATATATTAAAACCTAAAATTGCGGGGTAATAATTTTACGGGCTGTCCCAAAAAAAAAAAAAAATCAAACTAATAACGATCTCCTGAAAGAAGCGAAAGAGAAACGGTGCGAAAGTCCCAAACCAGTGCTCTGCTTCAGTCTCAATTAGTAAAAAATCTCTCCTTTTAATCTCTGTGTTTTATTTTAGGGCTACATTGGGTGTTGTGGTGATATAAAGTCGGTGTCTTTTCTATAGGCTGTGTAAGAATAAAAGTTCAAAATTCTGTAATGGGTTTGTGAATTTGGAATGATGAGTGGTGTTCCCAAGATATCTCACGAAGAGGGTGTTGTTACTCATCCATCATCATCAAAATACCCTCACGAGGATTCAGTTTCTTCTTACCCTAAATCCACTCCTGCTGCTGCTGCTGCTGCTTATGAGGCTGAATCAAGAACCGTCAAGGGTCCAAGAAGTGAGCCTAGAGATGGAGAGAGACGCTCTCCTATTCAAGCCGTGGTTTCTAGGTCTCCATCCCTGCCAGCGTCGGTTTCTTCAAGTGGTCCCCATTTGAATCACCCCCCTGTGCTGTTGGAGTCGAGAGATGATATTAAGGATGCCACCAGGGTTGAGGCCAGAGAAAACAGAAGTGATGGGAGAGAGATACATGGTGAGGCCAAGAGAGAGATTCAGGGTCCTAAGGGTGGGAGGGATGCCAAGTTTGAGAGATCAGCAGATGACTTTAGCGGAAAAGGTAATACCGGAAGCTATAGTAGGAATGATGGGAGAGATATATATGATGAAGCGAAGAGGGAGATTCAGAGTGATAGAGATGCTAAGTCTGAGCGTCTAGGTGGTGATTCTAGTGGAAAAAGTAATACTAGGGATCCAAAACTCGATAGGGCGAATCAGAACTACAATGACCAGAAGGCTGAGACTAAGATGGAAAAGGACGGGCATGCTCACTTGGCTTGGAAAGAGCACAAGGATTACCATCGAGGGAAGAGAGCGGAAGATTTATCGGTGCCTGTGGAGGGACCACATTTAGAAGGGCTTGGAGAAAACAAGGTTGATGCAAAATGCGAAGATAGATTCAAGGACAAGGATAAGAAAGGAAAAGATTTAAAGGAACGGGAATGGGGTGACAGAGAGAAGGATAGAAATGACCGCAGAGGATATGTACTTGCTGGTAGTGTCATGAGCGAAACCAAAGATATTGGAAGAGAAGAAAGAGAAGCCAATAGGTGGGAGCGAGAGAGGATGGAGCAGAATGATCGAGAAAGGAATAAGGAGAAGAAGAAGAGTAATGCTGCAAAAGAAGTCTTACAGAATGAGAAAGAGCTGGGTGAAGCATCTGCCAAACCTGCAGAACAAGAATATGTGGCACCTGAGCTGAAGAAGCAGAACGAACAGGAGGATGGGGAAAAACATGAAAGGGAATCAAAGGACAAAAGGAGAGAGAGGGACGGTGATTCCGAAGCAGAAAGAGCTGAAAAACGCAGCAGAATCAGTGAAAAGGAATCTGAAGATGATGGTTGTTTGGAAGGTGAAGGAGCTGCAGAGAGGGAAAAAGATGCATTCAATTATGGAGTTCAGCAACGGAAGAGAATAATGAGACCGAGAGTCAGTCCACAAACCACAAACCGCAACCGTGTCCGTTCAAGGAGCCAGGACAACCAAGGGTACGTCTCTCTTTGTCCTACGCATTTATCTTAAAACCTTTTCTAGTTATTAGCCTCTCATTGATTAGCTGAACCCTTAATATTTTTAACTATTCAGAGATAAATACGAGGATTGATTGAAATCTGAGTCTATTTAGTAAAGTCTCCCGGTGGTACGTTACAATTAAGTAAAAAATTGCATCCATATTTGTGCAGTGTAATGCCACTTTATCTCTTTAAACCTAAATATCTTGTTTATTGGAGATCCTCCCTTACTGCCTCCCTTTCTTTCTGTATTTAGAATATTTTCTCATGCATTACTTTTGATCATGTAAGTTAGTTATTGACTAAGTCCTTTACTTATTCAGTCACTAATCTAGCTTTTAATGTATCGTTCATATTTGATTGTGTTTATTGCAGGGTACAAGGTAATCATTCGGGTCTTTTCTTGAAGAAAGGATTGAGTTGCACTGCTTGGAGAACAATAGTAAAAATAACTTTGGTTAAATTTTCATTCGGTTTTACATGTGCATTGATAGTAGTCATCTAAGACACACATGGACTTGATAACCAAACTATATCGAGGTTTCCTTCTTAGGCTTGTCTTTAGGTTGCAGCTCGTTACTCTCACAGTAGAATGTCAATGCTTGGACACTAAAGTCAGTTTCATTCTCAATGCTACTTTCATATTTGGGCTGGTTAAATCACTTATCTCTCTGCACTTTTCAACTGTCTGCTGCTTTTATCTCTTACAACTTCAAAACAGTTATGCGAAACATAATTTTGGTCATAGCATCAGTTTGTTGAACCTTATTATACTAATGATTCAAGTAAATCAGAGGTGATTATTGTTGTTTACAAAGTTGGTGAATGTATGCAAGAACTGATTAAATTGTGGAAGGAATATGAATCCTCACACCCTGATAAAAGTGGTGATTTCGCAAGTAATGGCCCCACTCTTGAAGTTCGGATTCCAGCTGAGCATGTAACTGCTACAAATCGCCAAGTAAGACGAAGATGCATCCAGAACTTTCTCATAACCATCTGACTGTTTTTACTTAAAATGTCATACATGGTGCAGTTTCTCATATAATTTGGTTCGAAACTTTATCTCTGTTTGAGCTCAACGAATTTATACTGCCTACTTCAATCTGTATCTTCTGTCTGTTGCCTGCTGAAACCTTTGGCTTGTGCTTATGCAGGTAAGAGGTGGCCAGCTATGGGGAACAGATATATACACAGATGATTCCGACCTTGTTGCTGGTACGTGTCCTAAAGAATCGTTGCGTTGATGCCTTGGTTAGGTCCTAACATCACACTGATTCTGGTCTTATGTGTCCTGCTCTAGTTCTCATGCATACAGGTTACTGTCGTCCCACAGCTTCCCCTCCTCCACCGACAATGCAAGAGTTGCGTGCAACCATCCGTGTCTTGCCATCACAAGATTGTTAGTTAGCTTTCCTCTCTGATTTTTGCTGCATTTTTTGAGCAAAACTATATACTATGAGTTCCTCTCTGTTTTATATCAAGATAGAACTTTTAACCAAACTTTTTTTCATCGATATATTTGTTAGACTATACCTCCAAACTGAGGAACAATGTCCGCTCTCGAGCATGGGGAGCTGGAATCGGATGCAGTTACAGAGTTGAGCGGTGCCATATACTGAAGGTAAGTTGACATTTGTTCGTTATTGTCCTTTTTGTCTCCCTGACAACCCATTATGTGGAGATGTTATATACTTATGAAATTTTATTGATGTTATGATTCCAGAAAGGAGGTGGTACTACTGAACTTGAACCCTCTCTTACCCACTCCTCAACTGTTGAGCCAACACTTGTACCAATGGCTGTTGAGAGATCTATGACCACCAGAGCTGCAGCTTCGGTACTTTTTACTTCCAGTTTCGGAACCTCTGAATCTCTGTCGCTCACTTCACCTTGAATTTATAGTTTGATCAGACATATTACAGTATTGTTGACTGCAAGCATTTGGTTCCGTCTTCTAACACGCATGGATTATAGCAGATGACACATCGGCTCGATTAGTTTGCTCACATTTCACATCAGCACTGATGGCTTGTTTACCGTTTGGTAGAATGCTCTGCGGCAACAAAGGTTTGTTCGAGAAGTAACAATACAATACAACCTCTGCAATGAGCCTTGGTAACTCTCTATAAATTTCCACCAAAACATTCAGCGAGTTTCCTAACATTTCCACGTATCTTTATCACCTAAAAGGAACCAGACGCAAGATCAGTTTTACTCACACGTCGATTTACTTTTCTTGCAGGATCAAATATAGCATAAGCATTGTCGCAGATAAAGGTCTCAAGAAGCCTCTTTTTACCTCTGCCCGGTTGAAGAAAGGAGAAGTTATTTACTTAGAAACACATTCATGCAGGTATATAAAATTCATACAAACTCATGTCATTATGGGCATTAATTAGATATTAAATGCTTATGTATGCAAATAGGTATGAGCTCTGTTTCGCTGGAGAGAAGACTATGAAAGCTTTTCAAGCCTCACAACAACACTCCTCCCAAGACGCTATGGAGATCGATAATAATAAGTCACAGAACCTTCTAACTCATGTGATAAACGGTGACAAAACAGAGTCAGACAACAGTATAATTGATGTTTTCCGTTGGTCACGGTGTAAGCAACCTCTCCCTCAGAAGCTTATGCGGTCTATTGGGTTTCCACTCCCACCAGATCATGTCGAGGTTAAACATTTTATTTCGAGATTCCCACTCTTGTTTACTATAATTATTTACTATAAACATGAATAATGGTATCAACAAAGTATAAAGTTGAAAATTGATGTGTTTGGGAATTGGGAACACAGGTTTTGGAGGAGAATCTTGATTGGGAAGACGTACAGTGGTCACAAACTGGTGTTTGGATTGCTGGAAAAGAGTACTCTCTTGCTCGTGTTCATTTCTTGGCTCCCAACTAAAGAAACACAAGAAGAAAAAGCTTTCATTTTTTTGTAACAATTTATCCCATGGAATTTCACAGCGCTGCAGTCACCATCTGACCTACATGTATATTTTATAGTAAACTTAATCGTATATTATAGTAAACATTTCAAATCTTATATTTTTCAATCAAATCATAGGAGTATTTTTAGGCCTAGAAGATCCATCAAAAAATTTCGAACCTATCTACTCTATTAAGAGTGTGTATGGGAGTGTAGGACTAGGGCTGGGTTGCGGGTCAAACCCGCCCCGCTGACCCGCTAACCCGCGGGTTTTAGTTATTTTTTTTGTCAAAAAATCCGACCCGCATAACCCGCAGACATATAAATTTACACCCGCACCCGCCCCGCTTAATTTTGCGGGTAACCCGCGGGACCCGCGGGTTATATATATATTTTTAAAAAATAATTTTTTAATTTATTTTTTATGAAAAAATAATAAAAATAATATATTTATAATAAAATTATATATTTTAAATTTTTTAATTATTATTTTTCTTTAAAAAACACCGTATTTAAAAAAAAATATTTTTTTCCAAAAAAAATACTATTTTCTAACAAAAAAAAACACAATTTTAAAAAAAAAAATGACAATTTTTTTTTTTGCGGGTTGGCGGGTACCCGCGATTCAAAATCCTCCAACCCGCACCCGCCCCGCATAAAATATTCATAACCCGCACCCGCACCCGCCAATCGATTTTTTCAAATTATTCAACCCGCACCCGCCCCGCAGCGGGTAAAACGGGGCGGGACCCGCGGGCAATGAATCATATTCCCAGCTCTATGTAGGACAAAGACAGGACAAAAGCAGGTGAACAGATTTTACTTTTCCTGCATTAAAAGTTGTCATTCACATTTTTTTGAAAATAATTACGTTGGAAGCAGGACAATTGCACACATAGAGTCCTTATTTTTATTTACTGTTTTTATTTAAATTTAGACTTTTTCTAAAGTGTTACAAATAACTAGATGTTTTCCTGTACCATATGTAGAATTTTTTAAAAAATAATAATAATTAATTTTTAATTTTATTATTTTGTTATATTATTTTATGTTAATTATATGTAAAAAGTTAAGATAAAATAAATAACTTTTATTTGAATTTAGATTTAATAATATATGTATATATTTAAAACTAAAATTTTAGAAATATTTTATTATCTTTTTTCTTTTGGTTAAAATATGTAAAATCTGATTCTATACAATTAAGAGAAAATTGTGTTAAGTATATAATTATCAAAATATAAAATTAAATACTATTTCTAAAATTTATAGATATTATAAATAAAACTAACGGTATTAGGATTAGAAAATATAATATTTTAAAATAATCGCATAAAATTTTGAAAAAATTATTAATTAAAATTATATAATTATAAGAAATAGACTTGAAAATACTGTTATAATTTTTATTTCTACTATTATATTATTTATTGTTATGTTAATGATAATTTATGAGTTATTATCATCTTCTAAAAACTTACCAAAAATATATACTAACATTAAATGTAAATGTACTTGTCACAATTAACTCCAAACCATGTCATCATTATTAGTGGACTTGCCATCATTTTTTGGTGAAATTGATTGTGGTGATGACATATATCAAAATCATTTTGTAAATAATATATAAGGGATACAAATCATATAGTTGACTGAACCGTATTACTTAAATTAAACCGGCGGTTATTTATGGGATAGAGTCTTAGGCTTACTTTTGTTTTTAAGACAAATTATATGATTTGGTTTTTAGGATAGTATTAAGGAAAAACTCCAAAAACACATTGAATAGACTTTCCACTATAATGGATAAAAAAATCAATTATTATTTTCAGGCCCAAAGGTATTTAATATTTTTAACAAAACAAAATTGTCTATTATTAATCATTTATTTAAATCATGTACTTTAAAATATGTTATTGTATTTTTTCATTGTAAATAACAATTATAAATTTCAATGGTAACTTTTAAATAGTTTATTGTATGTTTCTTAGATAATTTCCTGATTTTTTTTAAAAAAAGAAATTAAAGCAAAACCAAAAACCAAATCTAAAAACTAAAATCCAAAACCAAAAGCTGAAAATGCATGTTGTATTTTTGTTTTTATTTATTTACAAAATAAACTATTGTAAGTTTTTATAAAAAATAATTTTTCATCTTTTCAGTTTTAAAGTAGATGTTTGATTATTTGAGATTTGTTTGTTGGTAATATCAGTTCAAACTAACTCAGTAGATCTAAAAACTCAAACCAAAAGCTGAAAATCAAAAATAGAAACTTAAAAACTAAAAATCAAAAACCAAAATTTAAAATCAAATCTAAAAATAAAAACTAATGCAAAACAATTATCACCAAAAAATTTGGATTATTGATTTTATATCAAAACATATTTTAAATAAAGACAAAACCCAATTATATAAATTTTTAATTATAAAAAAATCTATGTTTGGAAAACACGGATCAAAATCTAGTTTATTATATGAGCAATTCATCTTAAACTTGAAGAGTCGTTGACTAGATATTAAATTATACTAGTAACTAAAACATCTTATTATATTAACTTTAATTTGTTCAATGCACATTGACTGTTTGACACCTCTTGTAAAATTGCAATTCATATTGACTTGAATGTGTCACCAACCAAAGCATATTATGACATATGTCAACTACTAAAATTTTAGTACATAATCATAACGTTTATATAATAAAAATAAAAATTCAGAAACTAGAAAAACAATATATAACAAACAAAAGTAACACCATGAATATACACAAGAGATTAAAATTATTGTTTATAAATAAATTTAATTTCATGATTTTTTTTAGAAAAAATAAAGCATAATTTTCATAAATTTTTAGGAAAAACAAATTGTATTTGCATCATCCAGAAGCAATTTGACAAAGAACATATAAAAACAATAAATTTGATCTACTCTCTCATCTACCGGTCATGACGTATAAAATGTTGGGAAAAACTTCATTTCAGCATCAATTCTTTCGACTACCGGTTTGGTTATTAATTAAGTAGATAATTTCAGCATCTATCCTTTCATTTAACAGACAGAATTTTTCTCCTAACAATCTCAAACGTCTGTTTTGACGTGTGTATCTGATCAGACGACGCTAGTAGATTTGGGCATTAAATCTGATCTTTATAAATCAGTTCTAAATCTAGGAGAATAAACCAAATTATTAACCACAGTAAACTCGACGAACTTTCTTCTTCCTTATCAAAATTTGGCAGTAATAACAAAATTTCCTCCTCAAGATCTTCAGGAAATGACGACTACCGGTTTTGAAGGTGTAGATAAGAGATTAAAGATTGTATTCAAGAAGTCTATGGAAAAATCACTGTATTCCACCTTGAAGGAAGATCTATAAAAAGTTATCTTGCACCCGTGGACTGCAAGATCAAAACAAGTTATGACCGACTCCACCAATCTAACCAAGTCAACTTTATGCTCAAAATGAGCCAACTCAAAGCTTGCAAAGCTGAAACCGTCCTCGGGAGTTACATGAATGGTATATACTGATTCTTGTTCATAGAAAATCCACACTCCGGGAACTCCATCGCACAGATTTTGAATCCTGCAGTCTACGGGCTGCAAGATAACTTTCCATAGATCTTCCCTCAAGGTGGAACGAAGTGACTCTCCCATGGACTTCTTAAACACGATCTCTAATATATTTTCTACACCTTCAAAACTGAAAGTCGTCATTTCACCTGAAGATCTTGAGGAGGGAACCTTGCTCTTACTACTGAAGTTTGATGAGGAAGAAAAAAGTTCGTCGAGTTTACTTGTTACTGTTTTGGTTTATTCTTCTAGGTTTTAGAACTGATTTATAGAGATTATATTTAATACCCAGATTTACTTGTGTCGTCTAGTCAGATACACCTGTCAAAACAGACGTTCGAGATTGTTAGGAGAAAATTTTAGCCGTTAGATGAAAGAGTACATGATGAAATTATATATTTAACTCTTGGCCGATAGATGAAAAAGTTGATGCTGAATTATATTTTTAATATAAATTTAAGAATCTATGAACCATTTCTCTACATTTTATACGTCAAGAGAGAGTAGATAATTTTTTTTTTGTTTATATTTGATCTTTGTTAAATTGCTTTGGACGATGCAAATACAATTTATTTTCCCTAAAAATTCATGAAATTATGTTTGATTTAAAAAAAAAAATCATGATGTTATTTTAAAAGTTAAATTTATTTATACACAATTATTTTAATAATGTAAGTGTCATGATTATGTACTAAAATTTCAGTAGGTGAAATATGTCATAGTTGGTGACACATTCAAGACAGTATGAATTGCAATTTTACAAGATGTGTCAAACTGTCAATATGCGTTGAGCAAATTCAAATATATATAGTTTCATATTATATATATGTATATATATTAACATAAACACCTATTAAAATAAAATTCTTTATTCATATGATTTTATAATCATTGTAATCTATTATAAATAAAAAAAATTAGACATTGATCACAAAATTTTATGTGAGATTTTTAACAGTTTTAGTAATTTATTTTTGTTTTGAAAATTTCAAAATACAACATATATAAAAAATCTAAATTTTTGTTATATGATTAGTGTAATTGTGTAATTTATTTTAATAATAAAAAATTATACATAAAATTATATAAAGTATACATATTATTAACAAATATTTATTATTTAAAATCATTAATAATCATATATATGTTAATCACATTAGGTAATTCCATAGGTTTTGTTTAAGGAAGTAATTTATAGAAGATTTAGTTTGATATATTATTTGGTCTGATATTTCTTATACGAGACTAACAGACTTTATTTTAAAATTATGTTTTATATAAAGTGTTCTAAAATTCTTCTAAATTAAAATAGAAACGATAAAGAGATGTGGTTATTTTTTAATTAATACAGGTAACAATTTTTCAAATGTATAATATATAGAGATGTTTTGTGGGATTTTCCCCTATTTAGTATGAAATTATATCTTTATATATGTAACAAAAATTACGCCTAAGCTTCTACTCTGACAAGGAATCAGTTCCTATGTTCAACGGTCACTACAATTTGCTGCTCAGTCTCAGTCATTGTCAACAAGATTCATTAATCACTATAGAGATAGACAAGATTCTGCAGAATTAATGATTTGATAAAACAACAAGCTGTTCATCTCATGGAGTCTTATAACTTTAAGATCATAACAATGCTACGACGGTGTTCTTTTATTTGCTGTTTACTTAAATGGAAAAGGTTTTGCAATTTAAAGACAAATAGAGACGAATTATGATCACTGAAATCACTCTATAGCTAAACTTGACGAAGAACATCGGTTAGTAAAACCGCAGAGTCCAGACTCTGTCCTCCCATCCAAACCTTGAAGCCTTTGTAGAAGTACTCTGCGTCGTTCCAAGCTTTCAGTTCTCTGAGAGAGAAAGGTCCTTGTATATCACCCTGAGGATCTTTGTAGAACCAGTTTGACTTCTCTTTATCATAAGACACAACCTGAACATGTTCAACCGTAGGGTCTAGAGTCTCTCCATCACCGTTCTCATCTTCCTCACCATCGCTCAGTTCTATTATCTCTGGCGGATTTGGTTGAGCTTGAGATCCGTTGTTATGATTCAATACTGGTATGCTTGACTGAAGCTGAGCAACTTCAGGCTCTTTAGTCGGCGTCTCTTCTCCAGTGATGCCATTTTCTGGCTGCTCCACATCTCTATGAAGATATTCATCACCTGTAATTGAGAAAGATTTCGGTTTATTATCAACTGCACAACATCTCATTCTTTCAAAACGGGTATGGATGCAAATCAATCTCGAATCTTAAAAAGATCCCTATATCAATTCCTCTATTCAAAACCAGCATAGGCTCATGGTAAAGATGCAACACAGTGAAACAAGAGCCCTACACATTGTAATGACGCACCTGCAGAAGCACTCCATGTTGTCAATCTCCCATTTAAGTCCATCGCATAAGACGTGGTGATTCTCGGAGCTGTGCTGGTGTTTGACATCAGAAAACCATTACATTGTTGATCTTCTCCACCAAAGAGGTTGCGGACTTCTGGAGTTTCTTGGATGCTCGACATTGGAGATTCGCTCAATTGTTGTTCATTGTCACTCTTATGAGCCTCAGGGGACGCTTCAGGGTTTGGTACTACAAGTTCCTCTCCAATAACTTCCGGAACTTCACGAAATAGCCGGGACTGTTCTTCTGGAGTCTGAAGAAGCTCCCTTCTATCCAGATACTCAGACAGCGTAAAAACTCATGAAATCAAGAAAAAACAATTCACAGAGACGTTTCTGATCTCACTATCCGAATGATATCTATTCATTTTAAAGTATACCAAAAATATATATAAATATATAGTAAAAAGGATATTCTCTTCGCCATCCCTTCTCAGTGGCCCGAGCAATACGCTTTTGTAACAATGCCAATTCTCTTCCAAGCCACTGATAAGTTCAGTCACCAAGAGTTGAGTCAGTACAAAGAAATAGGACCAGGGGTCTCTTTTTCAGCTTGAAACACAGTTAAAAACTTGATCATATTCATGTGATCACGGAAGTAATGCTCAAGGGCGAGGTAAGATAGGAGATACAGAAATGAAGCAGAAGAGGAAGTTAGTAAGCATACGTGTTTCGTCTGTTCTTCATGTAAACTTCGAGCCTTTTCTTCCATCTCCACCTAGCCAAAGGTTCAAATAAATTTTGATTAAACGGCCGCAAAACCAAAATCTTAAAACCTCCATAAGCAGAAAGGTGAGAGATGTTGGAATAGGTGACAGGTAACTCCTAATCTTTAAATAGAGAGACGTCCAAACAAATATCTTCGCCTTCTTAATATCAAAATAAACTTACAATTGTGGGCCGCTTAAGAGATCCGTTCTTTATTCTCTGATGTAAATCTTCACATTCCTCCTGCAAATGTTTTACATACAAGTTATGAACTATAAGGCTTAGCCAAACAATTTAATAATGGAATATAGATACCTAGAAAATAGAAACCCAATGGGGGGGCTCTCAGAGCACACATATACCTGATTTATCATCAATTGGATAGCACATAACTAGAGAAATGAATATTGTTTCTAAGTAAATTACCTTGGAGAAATCATCATCAGATAGCACAGAGATAGAAACGTCTTTCACACAATTTGTAACCTGAAGAAGAAAACCGTCAGTCTCAGGCTCCTTCTTCACGCCTAGATAACAGACAAAACAAAAAAAAGTACAAAGAGAGCTCAACTTTCCACAGCAGACTAGATATTTTTAAGCATACAGACAAAAGCTCAAAGATGTGATTACGAACAAATCGGACATAATTACAAACCAGTATAGACTCTAAAATTTTTACCTGTGACCTGAACAAGCTGATAAGGGTTGTTCTGAAGATAATCATTAGGGTCAGACCTAATCCTCACAAAACTCCCCAACATTTTACCCTCAAAACTGTCCCGAGACTTAACCAGCTCCTGAACCAAACTCTTCCTCAAATAAACAAGCTTGACATTCTCACTCACGATAGCAGCAAAAATACCTCTAGGCTTCTCAACAACCTTTCTTACCTTAACCACCTTCTCCGAAAAACTCACAATCTGAGCCTCATCCTCATAAAGATAATCAAACTCCGCATCATCCTGATTCTCCTCATAATGCTTCTCCAGTAGATCATACACTTTGATCCTCAGTATCGTCTTAACCCCGAAAAGCGACATCAACCTATGGTCACACGCAACTTTCTTCTTGCTTGAAGAATCTATCAAACCATTCTCAGCAATGTACCTTGAAATAGTCTCACTAACCTCAAACCTGGAGATCTTGTTTGTTGTGTCTTTACCAAGAGACTGGAGAAACTTAATGAGTTGTTTTGAGCCCCACCCTATAAACTCAAACCGTTTAGGTCTAGCTTTCCTTCTCCTTGAGCTAGTTAAATTGCTGTTACCTTCCTCAACCCAAGTTATATCTCCCATTTTTTCACCTCTTAAAACCAAAACCTAGCGAACACAGAGTTTACTCTATTTTTCGTCTAAAGTCTAAACCTTTACAATGTGGGTGAAGCGTTACTGTCTGTTACTGATTGTTATTTCAAGAAAACCTAACCAAAACACGTGTACGAAAATTCGAATTGGAGAGATAGAGAGAGATAGAGGATAGGACCGAAACGAATGGCAGGGAAAAGCAGAAAACCCGCGGCGGAGAAAACGATCGGCGAGGGGACAGATTCTCCGGCGGCGATTTTTTGGTTTTATGGAGAATCGCGACGGGGACACATCAGTCAATCCCTCTCTTTCACTTTCTATTTGTGGAGCTAACAGAAAGTAAGAAACAAAATATATGAACATTTATCTTTAACAAAATAAACGACATAAATTATTATTTTTTATTAATTTTTGAAAATGGTATGTGCAGGTGATTTTGGAAATGCAAAACCCATTCACTAGAGAGCGGATTTCTAAATTTTATGTCTATTTCAAAGAATATTTTAGTATATTTTATTTAGTTTAGCACCATTTATTATCAATTTAACTAGGTGTTTTGCCCGCACTTGTGGGCTTAATAATTTTATTAATATCTATAAACAAATAAATAATCAATTTAAGTAAATTATAATAAATTAGTGTTCATACACTCAAAACATTTAGTAATAATCTAATCAAATTCTTTTTATATATAAAATTTTTCATCATCATATAAATAATTATCATTACACAAATTAAATGTAAAATTCTCATAAATTTAAAATATTTTGTAATAAATTAATATGTTTTCTAGACATAACAAAAAGAAGTATAATAAAATAAATTTTAGTAATGTTTTGGATAACATAAAGATAAAAATAAATTATATATTAAATCTAAAATCAATTGAAATTCGTTTTTATTTATGTTTAATTATATATTAAAAATTTTAATTATTCATTAAGGTTATAAACGATATTAACCAGTTTAACTTTTAACGTGAGAGCTCCGTTGCGAAAAATCACTTCACAAATAATAGTATAGATAGATAAAATCATATAACACTGTATAAATAACAAAAATATGAATATTAAAAAGGAAATTGTTTCAAATCAATAAAGTAAATATTGAGAAAACGAGTGCTAACTTTTACTACTTTTTCACTAATCTTCCTAAGAAAATTATGTAGATAATTTTGTTAAGCTTGCAGATGATATGCATTTTAATTTATAAACGATAAAATGCTCAAATAATTATTGAACTTACATATTTTTACCAAAATAATATGAACTCTCTATTAATCTAAAACATATAAACTTGTGTTGACCGAACTAAATTAGGTATATATTTAATTAATCTTAATTTTTAATCTAACATACGTTTATTTTTAGTTTTTAGTGGCATCAGAGTGACAATGTTTTTTAAAATGTAAAAAATAAAAATAAAATAATCACCGTAATAATTATAGAACTTACGTGATTTGCTAAATAGGATGAATTTTTCAATGATCCTAAAATATGATAAATTTATTTTAGTTAAGAAAAATTAGATATGAGCCAAAAATCCAAAAATTCAAACTGTGTTCAGTTTTCAGATTATGCGGTTAATAACATTTAAATATAAATATAATTTATAGCTCATATCAAAATCTTTTTTTTTTTTTGCGCAGCATTACTCATATCAAAATCTATCTCAGTCTAAATTTTAGGTATTTCCAGATATCATCTCAAAATAAATATAAAAATAATTCATTTAGTTATTTGTTTATATTTCAAGACAAATTAATAACTATTTGGATCAATCAAAAATCATATTTTTAGGGTAAATTTTGTTAGTATTTTTTTAAACAAAATGATGTCGCTATAAAGTTTGGTATTTATTTGCCTGTCCCCTCATTTATAAACCATTGATAAGCTTGCAGATGATATACTCTTAATTATATATCAGAAAAATATTTAGTGGCTCCATAATAATTAAGATTGAACTTGTTTATAGTTTTGAACATATAGATACTTGAAAATTTTAAAACAAAAAGGCTTTAAGATTAATCTTCAGTAATTTTAGAACTCTTCTTGGAAGATTTATAACGCAACAGCAATATACTCCTCTGCATTCACTTTCTCTTGTGTCTTCTTCTGCTTCTTCAGCTCTTTTGTCTTGCTCTGAAACCAAAACAACATCATCAACAACAACAAACTCAGTAAAACAATACCCCTAGGTTTGAACCATTTGAATAGAGAGAAACAAGATTTAAAGATTTCAGTTACCTTTAAGGATTGTGTTAACTCGGTTAAATCTTTCTTGCCCTCTTCAGATTTGTTTGAGTTGTTGCTGATCTGGGTAGGTTCCTGCAATTAAAAGTCCAAGGAGTAGTGTTAGAAACTTCTAGTAGAGAGAGAAAGACTCGGTTTTGACTTTGTGACAACAAAGGCTGAAGAGATACCTCAGGTGGGATGAACGAGGCATCTCTCTTTCTTTTCTTCTCTGTAGTCTTCTCTGTCTGTTTCTCTTGCTTCTCCTGCCACTTCTTGTCTGACTTCTTATTGGCACTCATGTGGTATTCCCCAGACTCCAATTGCATATCAACCTGGAAAAATCAATACAACAAGGTTAAAGGATTTGCAGGGAAAAAAAAAGAAAACAAAAGACAGATGACCCATTATCACCAAAGCTGAAATTAGAAGCAAGTTTTCTTGCCTTGCTGAGCTGCTGAGTAGGAGGGAATGGTATATATGGCTTCTTCTCCTTGCTTTGGGGTTTCTTTTGCTGAACATTCGTCCTGAAATCAAATTGGAAATAGATAGATGAGCTCATGATGACTTACTGAGAATGTCACCCGATTCAATTGTCATAAATAGAAAGAAAGAAGGCACGTACTTCCTGAACTTAGGAAGAAACCTATCCCAGCTTTCAGTTGCAAGCGCTGGATCCTTTGCCAGTTCCTTTCTCATCATCAGGTTCTGCATAACCAAGAGAGGAAGCATATACACAAATAAGACATAGGCTAGAGATCAAAGCTTCTCAAACACCTTCCCGTGAGAGAATAAGTGAACCAATAGTAACAGAGAAATATTTCATACACACCTTTATCTGGTATACCGGATGCATTTCATTACGCATGCACTGTTCTACAACCCTTCGGACTTGTTTTAGACCTTTAAAATTACCCATTGCGGCTACAGTACTTCCCTGTCACATGCAGATTAACCCCAAGGAATCAATAAAATATTAAAAACCAAAAGAGGATATAAACGTACCAAAAGAAGTGAGATATTTACAAAAGAAACACACACAATTACCTGAACTAAAATGTAACAATCGGTTAATATTTCCATTGCCTGCAAGAAACCAAAATCATTAAGCCTCAATACAACAGTATCACACATCATAAGCATTACACACTACTAGCATTACTATGACTATGAGTCATAGTCTATGACTAACTTTAAACATATCCATGAATCATAGGACTTAATACACAAAAACACACCTTCAAGGTAGAAGAATTAGGACCCACAAGCCGCTGCCTTCTTTTGACAAATCTTTCCTGAAAAGATGGAATATTAGGAACCGTTGACAATGCATACAAGATGCTTTTTGAAATTAAACTTATCCACCACATTATAAACAAGTCTACAGAGTAAAAAGGTGGTACTGATCGTCCTTAGATACATCAAAATGTAAGCACAACAGTAAATAATAATCCAGCTTTGGTCTCTCGTAATAATCACTCAGGACTTAAAAGAAAGACTTTGTACCTTATTCCGAACCAAGTTTCCAATCTTGATGACATCGCATTGCACTTCATCTTCCAGAACCTTGATTGCCTGTAAACAACAAAGTTAAAGACTTCCAATTACATTGAATAGAAGGTTCCCTAAGCAGAGTCAAGTTACAGTCATTTTCTCCACAATCTTCATTACAAAAGAGATAAAGACTATTCTAATTTCTAGTTAAGCAGGTGTGGTAACAACAATATACCTGAGGAGCAGGAACACTTCTGGAAAGAAGCTTAATCAAATCCCTAGCTTTAACAATGATATAAGGATCTCTAGTCTTCCTCGTCGTCGAAACTGTCATAGACCCTTCAACCTATTCCAATCACCAAATTCACCAAAACAGATTAAACCCTAAACCCTAAAAAACAAAAGATCCCCAATTCAAACGACCAATTAATTCACACCAGGTTGAGTTTGCATGCGACGCCGTATTGTTTGAGAGCGGATTCGATTCGAGGCCAAGAGTCCTGAAGATACTTCTCTCTGTATTGAGGAAAGAGTGTGGAGAATGTGCTGACTTCGAGCATACCGGTTGGGTTCCATGCCGGGTCGAATTTATCGACTTTCCAACGGTTGATGTTTGGGTCATCGTCCCATGGCTTTGGCTTGTCGTGACTGCCTTTGTATTTCGCCTTCTTCTCTAGATTCTCGTTCTCGTGATTAAGCTTCTCCTCCATCTCCGCCATTTGATTTTGAATTGAAAACACTCTGGAAACGGCGGTGAAGGTTTTGCTTAAAATTAGGGTTAGGGTTTATAACGTCCTTAAATCCTCGGAGCCAAAATTAAATTAATTTAATCTGAATGTTGAACCGGAAAAAATTAAATCGAACCGAATTAAACCAGAGTGGTTGAATTGAAACTGGTTGTCGGAAGAGATCTCGATTTGCTAGACGAGATAAATTAATCTTGATGTTAAACCGCGGGACAAAAGTAAAACTGAACCACATTAAACTGGTAGTAGTTGAATTTGTTAGGCAAAGAGCTGCTAGATGAACTAGAGCCTCTACCTTCTTATCCAATTCGCCCACACAGGCAAACTAATATCTCAAGCAGAAATGATTCATCATTATTGCTCTTAGCTTTCAATTATGGTTAAATTTGGTATAAACTTTTGGAATTTAACAGAATCAAACTTTTCTGATTCAATTATGTGAGATTTTAGCTAAACCAAACTATTGGTCATATAATTTGAAATCAATCATTAGTAAATTTGTATGAATGAATAACACCTTAGAACTAAAATTTAAACCATGAAAGCAATAACACATTCTTTCAATACGAATTTCAAAATTATAGAATCAATACCACTAAATTTAATTTAGATTCAAATCCAGTAAAAAACACCAGTCAATAACCTTCATATTTCAAATTTTAATTTTGTTGATTCATTTCAAATTGATTCATGATTCATGATTCATTTGAATATAATTTCTTAAATCTGCAATAATGTTTTAATAAATTCAACATGATACCATTTGATTTAAACTAATAACAAATTATTAGCAAATCCATCGGTTGTGTTTTTGTATCTAGTATAATATAATTATATTGATTTGTATTTCTTAAACAGAAAATTTGAGTGCACAAAAAATGAAAAAATATTGATCTGATATATGTTTCTAAATCAATGCACTAACTGAGCATTTTGGAGGAGATATGTTGTTAGTAAGGACCCCCAAAACTGATGCCGCTATCATAAAATTTATTAACTAATTATTTTGCTAAAGAAAAAAAATAAATCATTAAGGTTTAATCATTATTGATGCCGCTATCATATATGTTTCTAAATCAATGCACTAACTGAGCATTTTGGAGGAGATATGTTGTTAGTAAGGACCCCCAAAACTGATGTCGCTATCATAAAATTTATTAACTAATTATTTTGCTAAAGAAAAAAATAAATCATTAAGGTTTAATCATTAGGGTGTGAAACCAAACATGTCCCTCTCCTTTCAGTACAAAGTTTCTCTCAGATTAGGTAAGCTTGTTAGTCAAGTATAAATTTTTTATTTAAACTCTTTTAAATTTTGTTTTTGTGTGCATAAGATACTAAGTCTCCTTGGGCTAAACTGAAGCCAGTGATCAAGTGGGTACTATTACTTACTCAAAAGACCCTTTTGTATGTGAGTCTAATGTTAACAGATGGACAAAAAAATAAAGGATTCAATATGGTAATTGGATCAAGTTTGCGAGACTATCTGTAGGCTAAGTTCTGAAGAGGAAAAATATTTTTTTTTTGTAAATAAATGATATCCTTTCTAGTGTTTAATTATTTCTAACTATTACGTTTTCTAGTGTTTTGAGCTTTCTAACCTTTTATTTTTTTTTTATTCTATGAAACAGAAATAAGATGAAGAAGATGCCAAGGGGATTAAAAAACTATTAATCCACAACAGTGTTTTACGTCTTGTAAAACTATTTCAAACTTTATTCACTACTCTTTTTTTTTGTTTGTATGAAAAAAACATCTATTGGTATATTGGCGATACATTTGATCTTTCTTTTATTGGATTTGTATGAAAACCATGAAACATCGATTATTTATTAATATTCACGTTTAAGTTATTGCTCTTGGATCCTTATTTTCTAAAACATTGTTCTTCTGCTGAAATTTCATGTAAGTAATAGAGAAAGCCTCCATAATGTGTCCTGAAAGTGAGATTGCTACCTTTTTTTCATTTTTATTTTGGGACCTTCATATGTATCCCATATTATTTAACTACAGGGGTTAATATTTGATCAATCGACCTCATATCTCCAAAATTGAATCTTTATACAGATGTTATTCATGTTTCATTCAAGTATGAACTTTTTACCCCGATCCAAAAAACAAATCGGAACCGACACAAAAATACATGATCCAAAACCAAACTAAAATTTATAATAACCTAATTGGGTCCAAAATTTGTATACCTAAAAGAACCTGAACCGAATAGACCTCAACTCAAATACAATCGTTTTGAATAGACCCGGCCCGATAAGAACCAATTTACACCTGACCTAAAAACATGAATATCCAAAACTCTATTTTTTTTGTTATACATTATATATTTTAGTTTATAGTTTAGTTGAAATGTATTTTTATCAATTTTATTATTATTTTGTAACATTTCCAAGTAATATAAAACTTTAAATGTTAAATTTAGAGTTAAAAATATTTAATTTTAGTTATTAGTAGTTTATTTGTGTTATGTTACAAAATTTAAGATAAATATGAACGATCTCAGCAAAAGTTTTGATAGAATTCCAATATTTAGAGTATTTTTAGATCCTAAAATATCTATATCTGACCCAACTTGAACAAATCCAATAATTATAGATATTTGAATTATAGATCCGAACTGATTTGGACCTAAGAAAAATCAACCCGAAACAAGAAATTCAAGTATCTATAAGGGTCTGAAAGATCCAGACTGAAAAGAAACCCGACCCAAAGTCCCGTTAGTTTTTTATCAGTGAAATTTGTATTCAATTCATTAAATATAGTTGAGTGAGTAATTGTTTGGTAGTCATGATACTATGTGATAATCCACATCTTGTGTGAGGTTAAATATATATATCATATTACTTATTATATATTTACATACTTTTCAATTATAAAAACATGGAATAGAAAATATTTTTCTATTTTTTCTAAGTGTGTAATTATAAAAAACATTTTCGTAAGTATTACATGTTTATATAGTATCATGACTATCAATCAATTATATATATATATATATATATATGCAATCTTTTTGTTTCTTATTATTAAATTATATAAATAAAATCTTAAATATTACATATTTATATTTATATGGCCGAGATGTGTATTGGACCTGCAAATTAAAAATAAAATTGTAGATAATATATGGTTCAAGTTTTGTTTAATTTCAGATATGATATAGATGGTATAGATAAATTCTTAGCAGATCTACTCCAAAGTCCAAATGATGGACTTTGATTTAATTAAACTTATAGAAATAAGTATATTAAATAATTCAAAATTATATAGAATTAAATATTCAAATGTCAATTTTAAATTACAACTTAAAAATTTTTCTCAAATAATATATAAGAGATTAACAAGTTGTTTAGCATGGCTGAGTAGTACAAGGCGGTAGACCCATCTTCTGGTATTTGATAGAGGGGTTGGCTTCAAATCCCCTTTTAACTAGAGATGGACGTTCGGATATTTGTTCGGGTTTAGATTGGGTATTTCAGATTTTTGGATATTTTGGGATAGAGGTTTAATACCCGTTTGGGTATTTATATATTTTGGGTCGACTTTGGGTTCAATTATTTCGGATCGGGTACATACATTTAGTTTTCAAAAAATAAAACTATTCATTGGTTAAAATTCTTGTATTTAAAAATATATCTTTTAATATGACAATTAATAGGTTAGGAGACTAAAATTCAAAAACAAAAAAAAATACTAATTTGATTGTTGTTTTAAAATTTTAGATTCAACTTTTGTTAATACACAAAATCAGAATTTGACATACATAGTAAATCACTATGTCCAAGATTATATATAAATATTTTGTTAAAAAACAGAAATAAACTATTAAATATACATATATTCGGTTATTTTTTAAAAAATTTAGATTCAACTTTTGTTAATACACAAAATCAGAATTTGACATACATAGTAAATCACTATGTCCAAGATTATATATAAATATTTTGTTAAAAAACAGAAATAAACTATTAAATATACATATATTCGGTTAATTTTTTATATTCTTTCGGGTTCGGATATCTGATCTTAGTATTTTGCTATTTTGATTCTGGGTTTTTGATATGAATTTGGGTATTGGGTAAAGTGTCCAGCCCTATTATTTTTCATCAAATAAGTTTTTATTTGTTTGAGAGTGAAAAAAATGGTTTTTATTCGACTGGTTATGTAAATTTTAATCGAACCGACCAGATACGACTGAACCAAAATTGAATAACTCGGTCCGATTTGTACCAAACGGACCAAAATTAATTAAAAAATGTTAGTAGGAGACGGCGTTGCGGACGTTCAAGTATCTATCTATCTACTAGGTTGTTATTCGTCTTCCTCAGTCTGTGTTTTTGAAAATCTATGCTTGCTTGCTGCATTGCATTTGTGCTTCCTAACAAGGTTTCTCCTTTCTTCCTCAATTGAATTCTGGAATTTAGCTAAAACCCAGTTTATTTCCAGAGGCATATCCCTTTCATATTCAATCCTGGATCAGTACCGAAGGAGACTAGTATGCGGTAACTAGATCCTTCTTTTACCAGTTGATTGAGAAAACGTTTTTAGTCAGATATGTTCTTAGATGTTGCCAATGTAGGTGATTTTGCCTTTATACTTGTGGGGAAGTAGTAGTAGTATGTCGGATCTTCTTGTATTTGTATGCATTTCTTCTTATGGTAAAGATGGGTCTTGTGACTTTTAGCTGTGGAAGATCATGTTTTTGTTTCTGGGATTAGTAACAATTATTAAGTAAATGTTTTATATAAGTCTTAGCCATGCAGCTTTGACTCTTTGGGTTGTTGTGTTTGTATGCATTTCTTAGGGTAAAGATGGGCTTTGTTTCTGATTGCTAAAGTATATATGGACTTTTAGCTGTGGGGAAGATCAGGTTTAAGTTTCTGTGCTTAGTAACAGTTATCAAGTCATATTTTATGATATAATTCTTAGCTCTGCTTGGTTTTACTGGACTTTAACTTGAGTAAGCTGGTTGCAGGTTTAAAGGTTTCATCAAAACTGGTTGCAGGTTCGTGCACTTACGCTGTCGCTAGAACTTGCAAAGCTACAAGTGTTTTAGCTTATTTGTTTGGGGCAGGTTATGTTTATTTTCAAAGAGAATGCACAATTCCCTCTTTTATTGTATTGGGGAAAAGTTTGAGTATTAATGA